TCCTCCTCCTTCGTCTCCCACTGCTGCAGCTGTCGCTGAGGGGGGTGGATGTGTGGGAGTGTACGGAGTGGTGCTAGGGGGGTGGAGTGTGAGTAGAGCTAGGGTTTGAACAGGGGGTGTGTGAAATGGGGGTGGGACAGTTGGGGGAGGTTGGATGGAGGCGGTCGTCGTGTCGTCAGCAGCAGCAGCAGTCCGGAGGCTACAATCTCCGGTAGTCGCCAGTCGCCCGTGGGTCCGTTGCTCGTTTGCCGCTACTTTTAGCCGCGGGGCCAGTTACCCCAGTAGTCCGGAGCGCTGTTCCGGTAGCCACTGAGCCAGCAGCTCGTCTGTGTGTCTGCAGCGTCAGCAGTCGCCTCCCATCTTCTCTCCCCCACAGTCTCTCCTCCTCCTCACTTGCCCTCTGTGATAGCCTCTAGCTTTGCTTACATTTGTTAACTATAAAACTGCTACCTCTTGTACTTGTGCTCAGAATGTGTGGTGACATTGTGATCCACCCTGAGCTTGTTTTCTTTTGCTTGCTCTGCTGATTACACCCCACTTTGGCTATGGGGGTGTGTCAGAATATTATGCTCTAGCCTGTAGTGGGGTGCTCTATAGCGAGTACAACTCTTCTAGGGTTTTGCTATTTGTATCCCCATTCTTGCTAGTGCAACCCCTCTCTTCTTTCTTCTAAACTTTAACACCCGGGTCAGGCGGAACACACAGGTAACAGTCACCCACATCACTAGTAGGCAATGCATACATGGCAGTGAGGATAGCATCATAGTCAAGAGCATAGATATCTACCCTCTGCCTAAGCAGCTCCACCCAGTCGGGGAGCTCAGCGGCGTCGCCAAACTCCGTACGCCAGACGTCGCTCAGACGGGCGAAGCAGCGGGACTCGGCGTGACCAAGCGTCCCACAGGGCTGACCAGTCCGAGCACCAGTGCGAATGACGTACGGACAGCGGGCAGAACTCCGTGACCCTCCACGCTGAGCGTACCACTCACGAAGCTGCTGGGGCGAAAGGACCGCGGGCGGACTACGCTGCAGCTGCACCTGACCACTACAAGTAGCTCCCGAACTCCTCACGCCAGAACGACTCCCACTACGGCCACCCCGACAACCCCAAGTAGCGTACCACTCACGAAGCTGCTGGGGCATGAGGGACTCACGCGGACGTCGCTGGAGCTGCATCTGGCCACCACCAGGAGCAGGAGGAGCAGTGGTAGCCACAGTAGCAGCAGTAGAAGCAGTAGCAGTAGTCGTAGCGCGGCCACCCCTACAACCCCAACTAGCGTACCACTCACGAAGCTGTTGGGGGGTGAGGGACTCATGCGGACGGCGCTGGAGCTGCATCTGGCCACGCCAGAAGCAGTAGTAGCAGTAGAAAGAGCAGTAGCAGCAAGAGCAGCAGTAACAGCAGTACGGGCAGGGCAGTGCTCACCAGTGGCGAGAAGGGCAGGCGTACGACGGCGGCAACGGCGAGGCCGCTACCACTGCAGGGCGAGGGCTCCGCGGCTGCTGCAGGGGCGGCTGCTCCAGTGGCGGCTCCTGCAGGGGCGGCTGCTCCAGGGGCGGCTGCTGCAGTGGCGGCTGCTCCAGGGGCGGCTGCTGCAGTGGCGGCTGCTCCAGGGGCGGCTGCTGCAGGGGCGGCTGCTCCAGGGGCGGCTGCTGCAGTGGCGGCTGCTCCAGGGGCGGCTGCTGCAGTGGCGGCTGCTCCACGGGCGGCTGCTGCAGTGGCGGCTGCTCCAGGGGCGGCTGCTGCAGGGGTGGCTGCTCCAGGGGCGGCTGCTGCAGTGGCGGCTGCTCCAGGGGCGGCTGCTGCAGTGGCGGCTGCTCCAGGGGCGGCTGCTGCAGGGGCGGCTGCTCCAGGGGCGGCTGCTGCAGTGGCGGCTGCTCCAGGGGCGGCTGCTGCAGTGGCGGCTGCTCCAGGGGCGGCTGCTGCAGTGGCGGCTGCTCCAGGGGCGGCTGCTGCAGGTGGCGGCTGCTCCAGGGGCGGCTGCTGCAGTGGCGGCTGCTCCAGGGGCGGCTGCTGCAGTGGCGGCTGCTCCAGGGGCGGCTGCTGCAGTGGCAGCTGCTCCAGGGGGCGGCTGCTGCAGGGCGCGGGTTAGGGCAGGGCGCCGCGGCGGTCAGGGGGCGGCGCGGCTGCTGCAGGGGGCAGCTGCTGCAGGGCTGAAGTGGCGGCTGCTCCAGGGCGCGGGTTAGGGCAGGGCGCCGTGGCGGGCAGGGGCGACGCGGGAGCCGCAACGGGGCCGCGAGGGAGCCGCGACGGGGCCACGAGGGGCCTGGAGAGGGGCCGCGGAGGGGCCGCGACGAGCCGCGGCTAGCCACGAGGGGCCGCGAGGGGCCGCGACAGGGCCGCGAGGGGCCGGGAGAGTGGCCGCGAACGGCCGCGAACGGCCGCGGAGGGGTCGCGCGACGAGCCACGAGGGGCCGCCGGGGGGGGGGGGGGGGGCGCGAGAGGGGCCGCGAGGGGCCGCGAACGGCCGCAGAGGGGCCGCGAGAGGGGCCGCGAGGGGCCGCGAACGGCCGCGGAGGGGGCGGCTAAGGGGCCGCGAGGGGCCGTGAGAGGGGCCGCGAGGGGCCGTGAGAGGGGGGGGCCGCGAGGGAGCGGCTAAGGGGCCGCGAGGGGCCGTGAGAGGGGCCGCGAGGGGCCGCGACGAGCCGCGGCTAGCCACGAGGGACCGCGAGGGGCCGCGACAGGGCCGCGAGGGGCCGGGAGAGTGGCCGCGAACGGCCGCGAACGGCCGCGGAGGGGCCGCGCGACGAGCCACGAGGGGCCGCGGGGGGGGGGGGGGGGGGGCGCGAGAGGGGCCGCGAGGGGCCGCGAACGGCCGCAGAGGGGCCGCGAGAGGGGCCGCGAGGGGCCGCGAACGGCCGCGGAGGGGGCGGCTAAGGGGCCGCGAGGGGCCGTGAGAGGGGCCGCGAGGGGCCGTGAGAGGGGGGGCCGCGAGGGAGCGGCTAAGGGGCCGCGAGGGGCCGTGAGAGGGGCCGCGAGGGGCCGCGAACGGCCGCGGAGGGGGCGGCTAAGGGGCCGCGAGGGGCCGTGAGAGGGGCCGCGAGGGAGCGGCTAAGGGGCCGCGAGGGGCCGTGATAGAGGGGCCGCGAGGGGCCGTGAGTGGGGCCGCGAGGGAGCGGCTAAGGGGCCACGAGGGGCCGTGAGAGGGGCCGCGAGGGAGCGGCTAAGGGGCCACTAAGGGCGGGGGACGTGGGGCGCGACTCGGGCAGGGGTGAAGTGCGCTCCGGGCAGGAAAAAAAAAACTTTCGAATTTTCGGTGGGCCCTAGGAAACGTTCCCACTAGGGAACCTGCTCTATACCATGTGAAAGAACAAGGAATGAATGCACTAGGAAACAGGTGGGTACAAGTAGGATGACCTAAAAGTGTTGTACCCCATATTGTCTACCCCACTACAGCCTACACAGACTATAGCATATAAGTCTGACAGGAAAAATCCCGCGCATTGATTTTGCTGCCCTGGTCGACTGGTCACCCATGTCACCCAATCAAATTCACACAACTGTACATTTCGCCTGATCGCCTACTGCCGCAATACATTCATTTTTTGAGACGCGAGGTCGACAAAATGTGTAAACGCGACTTAGGAATAAGGGCATTGGGACACAAATGTCGACACAGGAATGTACCCTAAGCTGTTTATATATGTTTGTGAATTCTTGAACTGACCTTGTGACCCCTTGGTTGCTCTCAGACTATGTGGTGACTTCGAGATCCACCCTGAGATTTGTGGTGTTACTTCTCTTGACTGGTCTTGTGACCATTTGTTTCCCTTGCTTGTTTTGATGCCCCTCACTTAGCCTCTAAGGGTGTGACAAATGTTATATAAGTTTTTAGGCTATAATGATTAGCACTCTAGAGATTACAGCCCTATTTGGTGTTGGTATTTGTTTGCCTTGTTCCTACTCACACCATTCCGCTGTTTCCTACTTTGAGATGCAAGCACAGTCGTGTGACGATGTTTTCTCAAAGTGGTGAAATTCTAACCCAACGTGGAATGTCCAGGCCTATACAAAGTCACATTATGCCACATTTGTACCGTATTCTCCCAGACATAACACCCTAGGGTGTTATATTCAATACAGGAAAAATATTGGGGGGGGGGGGGGGGGGGGGGGGGGGTGGTCTTCTCATCAGTAAAAGCTACATTCTACCCGGATCTATTATGGCATTTTTTAGTATAAGGATTTTGATAAATGGACAGCTTGGGTGTTTTCAAAGTTGGTTTAACATAATAGTCAGAGGCAAGAACGCGAGCTTCGACGCCAACAAATTCACCCCCTTGAAATTGCCAGGTGGCACCTCTTTGGCCACTTGTTAGCAAAAGGATCTACCAGCGTGGCACAGCGAAAAAGTGGGAGGGAGGTGATTCCGGCATATTCTTTCGAATACCATGTAATTTCATCGAGGATGTGATTTCCGCGATGTTCTCCCTTGATTGTACCCAGGGCTCTCGTTATCAGACTAATTTGGTCTGATGGTCTGATTTTCAGACTCATTTTTTCCGATTCATCTGATTTGGCAAACAGGATCAGACAAAACCATGTCTAATGCCCGGGGGACCCGTCTGATAAATCAGACGTCCTCAGATCCTAGCAAGAGCCCTGATTGTACCTACTCGTTAACAGCTATAATTAGAAATTCTGTAAGAAAAGGGGGTGTTATAAAGAATCACCCCAAAAGGGGGAGTATAGTACAAACGAGGTGGGCTATAACACCCACCCCGCACAAGCTACCCGGGGGGTGTGCAATTTCGGCGGGTGTTATGTCCGGGAGAATACGGTACTCTTCTACTCCACTATTACAATCTCATACAACATGTAAATTGAAAATTTTCAGTTTCCCCTCATACCACATAATCTGCTGGCCAACATATCAGTACCCAGCTCTGCACCCTCCAAATAGAAAAGATTGTAGAAGTTCTCCATATACATCAATAGGCCCCTGGTTGTGATTGAAAGCATCTTATTGAGAAATTTTGTAGGTGTACCACCCATCTGATTACACCTGGCCGGAAGCACCAGGCGTGTAACCAGCATAAGCACCCTGAGGCGGCTTGTACTGGTCATCTCCTGCATATGCTCCTGCAGCTTGAGTCGTGTAATCCACCTCCACCTCTGCAAAGAGGGAAGCACACACGAGGGTATAAGGACAATGGAGAGGGATAACGTAGGAGAATTTCAGGATGTAGACCCTCCATGGATGAGTGCAAGCAGCTGAAACTACACAGCGCGAGGAAAAGAAGCATTGCTTTGCATTGGTGGGCTCTGTTGCCCGCTCTGCACGTGTTGCAGCACTGAATGACGATAAAGACCCTGACAAGTGAGAGACGTCTTACAAATGGAGAGGAGAAACTTTTGCTCACGCAGGTGCCTTTCAGGGGCTTACCTTTGGACCTCCTGCCACACTGTATGATGATGAAAACAGCAGCCACGACACCAACGACCAGCAGCAGCACGCCCACCACGATGCCCACAATGGCTCCTGTTGACAGCCCCGAGCTGGACGAGGAAGAAGCATTGGCGCTGGCGTTGGCGTTGTTGTTGTTGGTGTTGGTCGTGGTGATGGTGGTGGTGCTGCTGCCATCGAGGTTGGATGGAGGAGGCTCAACAACAGGAGGAGGAGGGGGAGTAGGAGGGGAAGGGGAAGACTCGGAGAGAGGTGCAGGGATGGGAGGAGAGATCGGAGGCTCGGATGGGGATGCTTGGGATGGGGATGCCTCTGACGGTAGTGCATCGGATGGTGGGGCATCGGACGCAGGGGCTGCACACAAAACAAGAGTATCAGAAACAAAAAAAGGATGTCTTGCGCAGACTCGGAGTATGGACTACAAGCAGACGTGTTTTGAGTCGACTCAAAACACGACAAGAGTATCTGACACAAAAAGGATGTCTTGCGCAGACTCGGAGTATGGACTACAAGCAGACGTGTTTTGAGTCGACTCAAAACACGACAAGAGTATCTGACACAAAAAGGATGTCTTGCGCAGACTCGGAGTATGGACTACAAGCAGAGGGGAATCAGAATTCGGGTATTGCCACAAGGGATGCAACGCAACAGGTTCGGCCCGGCAGCCAGTGTTACCCTCCAGACAGGAGGGAAGCAAGCAACAGATGCTACCCACCAGGGGCAGGAGGGGAAGCAACAGATTGTACCCACCAGGGGCGGGAGGGATGCAGGAGTTGCAGAAGGCAGCACAGGCGGTGCAGAACTCGCTGCTGTCTCTCTGCTCCACCACACACGAGGTGTTCTTGGCAGGGCACGCCACGGTAGAGTCGTAGTTGCTGCACGCAGGGGCGGTGAGAGGGTAGGGTAGAGGGGTGAAAGGGGTTTTGGGACGTGTCTCAAAACACTGGGGCTTGCCGTCTCTCTGCTCCACCACACACGAGGTGTTGCTGGCAGGGCAGACCACGGTAGAGTCGTAGCTGCTGCAGGTAGGGGCGGTGAGGGGGGCAGGGCAGTGAAAGAGGCAGGACAGTGAGGAAGGCAGGGCGGTGAGAGGGCGGATTGACAGTAGGAGGAAAGTGGTGCGCGATGGAAAGCGATAGGGGGATGAAGCGAGGAAGGTGGGATGAAGCGAGGATGAAACCAATCAGCAGCACCACACAGTCGCTCCATAATCCACTGATACCTTACACAGATCCCAAGCAGCGCCATGGCACACAGAGTGCAAGCCGCGCCATCGCATTGCAGACGCTCGTATTGATGCCCTAGTCTGCAGTAGCGACAATATACTGCCGCTTCCTCTTCAGTTGCTCTTCTGTTCTCTGCTACGTCAGCTTACGTTCACATATAAGGTGTAAGCTGCTGTGGATTGTTAACGCCACAGAAAAAGTCTGGCGATATGCTGTGCTGCATTTGAGTCGACTCAAAAGTCACCTCCTGGCAATCGTGGTATTCCGTGGCACGTCATCTTACAGAGTGAGGAGATGCGGTGCGCCCAGAGTGGCAGGAAGCGTGCCGGTTAGCTTGTTGCCATCGAGCCTCCTGTGTGGGTGGGCAGAGAAGGAAGCTTGCACTTAAGATTCAGGAGCGTGTTCAGTGGTGAGTCGACTCAAAAGCCTTTTGTGTGGGTGGGCAGAGAAAGTTTACTTGCACTCACTGTGTGTGTGTGGGCAAGAAGTATACTTGCAATTGAAATTCAGGAGTGTGTTCAGTGGTGAGGACATGTAAGGCAATGATGTGTGGTGAGGTGAGGACATGAGGGCAATAGAAGCGGAGAGGTATGGCAGGAAAATTGAAGTCTGGGCAGCACTCACAGCAGGCAGCAGCACTCACAGCAGGCAGGCAGCAGCACTCACAGCAGGCAGGCAGCAGCACTCACAGGGTCTGAAGATTAGTCAGCAAGCCAAGGCCGGATGGAATGGAGCCGCCCACACCTGTATATTCGAGGCTCCTGGTGGGGTAAGGCAGGGTAGGGAGGTGGGGAAGGTAGGGGGTGAGAATGGGGAAGGTAGCACGCAGCAGCATCCTTAAGGTCTGAAGGTCAGGAATTGAGGCAAGGCCGGATGGAATTGAGGCAAGGCCGGATGGGATTGAGGCAAGGCCGGATGGGATTGAGGCAAGGCCGGGTGGGATTGAGGCAAGGCCGGATGGGATTGAGGCAAGGCCGGATGGGATTGAGGCAAGGCCGGATGGAATTGAGGCAAAGCCGGATGGGATTGAGGCAAGGCCGGATGGGATTGAGGCAAGGCCGGATGGGATTGAGGCAAGGCCGGATGGGATTGAGGCAAGGCCGGATGGGATTGAGGCAAGGCCGGATGGGATTGAGGCAAGGCCGGATGGGATTGAGGCAAGGCCGGATGGGATTGAGGCAAGGCCGGATGGGATTGAGGCAAGGCCGGATGGGATTGAGGCAAGGCCGGATGGGATTGAGGCAAGGCCGGATGGGATTGAGGCAAGGCCGGAAGGGATTGAGGCAAGGCCGGATGGGATTGAGGCAAGGCCGGATGGGATTGAGGCAAGGCCGGATGGGATTGAGGCAAAGCCGGATGGGATTGAGGCAAGGCCGGATGGGATTGAGGCAAGGCCGGATGGGATTGAGGCAAGGCCGGATGGAATTGAGGCAAGGCCGGATGGGATTGAGGCAAGGCCGGATGGGATTGAGGCAAAGCCGGATGGGATTGAGGCAAGGCCGGATGGGATTGAGGCAAGGCCGGATGGGATTGAGGCAAGGCCGGATGGGATTGAGGCAAGGCCGGATGGGATTGAGGCAAGGCCGGATGGGATTGAGGCAAGGCCGGATGGGATTGAGGCAAAGCCGGATGGGATTGAGGCACCCACAGCTGTGGAGTCGAGGCTCCTGGGGCAAGAGAGGTAGGGGCAGAGGATGGGCAGACTCGGTATGAAAGGGTGGGGCAATGTGCATGGTGGGGTGGGAGAATTGCCATGCAAAGCGGTGGGTGAATGTGCATGGATGGGGGAAGAGGATGGGCATGGCTGGGAAGTGGCTGGAGATGGAAGTTAAATTCCATGAAGCGCGAGCTCCTTACTTTCTGTTCAAGTGGATGGAGAGCAGGCAAGATGATGATAGAAAAATGATTCGAATGGGGTGACGTGCAGTGAGGTGCGGTGAGGTGATGCGAGGTGAGGCAAGGTGAGGTGCGGTGAGACAAGGTGAGGTGAAGTGCTGGTTCATCGTGAAGGCTTACAGCTCAACGAGGTTTGTAAGGGCGGTGATGGTGCTGGGAATGGTGCTGCCTGTGAAGTTGTTGCCCTTGAGAGAGCTGCAGGGGGAACAGGGTTGGGGGATTTTGGAGGTATCTCAGGAATGGTGCTGCCTGTGAAGTTGTGAGCGTGCTGCAAGGGAGCAGAGGGGAATCAAGGCATAGGGGAACACTGAGGGCGGTGATGGTGCTGGGAATGGTGCTGCCTGTCACACGCGCACCTCATTCCCTCCTCTCACACACATGCCTCCTGCCCGGACTCACAGGTACTCCAGGTTGGGGATGGTGCCAATGCTGTCAGTGAGCGGGCCAATGTTGTTGTTGGCGAGATCGCTGTGAGACGAGGGAGGGAGAGGCGAGGGAGGGAGGGAGGGAGAGGCGAGGGAGGGAGGGAGAGGCGAGGGAGGGAGGGAGAGGCGAGGGAGGGAGGGAGAGGCGTTGGAGGGACAGGCATGGGAAGGCCAATAATGTCGGTGAGTGGACCAGTTGTTGGTGAGGTCGCTGTGAGTCGTGGGAGGGAGGGTGGTGTGAGGGAGAGAAATGGGAGTGGGGAGAGAAATGGGAGTGGGGAGAGAAATGGGAGTGGGGAGAGAAATGGGAGTGGGGAGAGAAATGGGAGTGGGGAGAGAAATGGGAGTGGGGCACGGGATGCACGTGTGAGGTCTTGGGGTACAATTCATACCTATGGCAGTTTTGATGTGCCAATAACGAACACCGGTTGCGCTTGCAGAAAAATAGGTTGTGTAAAAAAAAAAGGAAAAAAACAAACAAACAAACAACCACAAGAATAGGTGAGTGTGCTTACAGCGAGGTGAGGTTCTTGAGGTTGGAGAATGATTCGGGGATGGGCCCTGTGAGGGCGTCACCCGTGGTGTCGTAGTCACTCACACTGATGCTCCTGTGCCCACGCAAAGGGGGGAGATGTAACAAAGAGGGAGATTGAAGCCATTGCCAAGTGCTCGTGGAATTTCCGGCAAGAGAGAGGAATGGGATGGAAGAAACTGTCAGGGCCTGCCTAGTGTGAATCATCATCACCACTTTCCAGAGTGCACAGTGCCTCCATTTTGAGAAAGCGGTGCTCACAGTGATCGTAGGCTGGCCATGTTGCCAAAGGAGGCCGGGATGCTACTTTTGAGGTGCCTCAGCAGTAGTGTGCGGTACGGTGTGGTGCGGTGGGGAGTGGCTCACAGTGATTGCAGGCTGGCCATGTTGCCAAAGGAGGCTGGGATGCTGCCTGATGCCACCTGCATGATTGATCTGCACGGGCGGAAGGGAGGGGAGAGGGTGATGAGAGAGAGGGAGAAGAGGTGAGAGAGGGGGAGAAGAGGTGAGAGAGAGGGAGAAGAGGTGAGAGAGAGGGAGAGGGGAGAGGTGCCAGGTGATACGCGGAACACCAATGCATGCCTGTACCTATAAGCCTACAATTAATACATGGACACTTAGAGAGGGGAGGCTACCCAACCACCTTCTCCTCTGCAGCACGGGGCATGAGCGTGCGGTGCGGAGTGGTGTGGTGCGGTGGAGAGGGGCTCACAGCTTCTGCAGGTTGGTCATGTTGCCCATGCTGGCGGGCAGGGTACCTCTAACGGGGATGAACCCTAGGTCTCTGCCATTCACACGCGCACATCAACAAACACACACACATGCGTGCACACATACACACACATGCGTGCACACATACACACACATGCGTGCACACATACACACACATGCGTGCACACATACACACACATGCGTGCACACATACACACACATGCGTGCACACATACACACACATGCGTGCACACATACACACACATGCGTGCACACATACACACACATGCGTGCACACATACACACACATGCGTGCACACATACACACACATGCGTGCACACATACACACACATGCGTGCACACATACACACACATGCGTGCACGCATACACACACATGCGTGCACGCAAACACACACATGCGTGCACACATACACACACATGCGTGCACACGTACACACACATGCGTGCACACATACACACACATGCGTGCACACATACACACACATGCGTGCACACATACACACACATGCGTGCACACATACACACACATGCGTGCACACATACACACACATGCGTGCACACATACACACACATGCGTGCACACATACACACACATGCGTGCACGCAAACACACACATGCGTGCACACATACACACACATGCGTGCACACGTACACACACTTGCGTGCACACATACACACACATGCGTGCACACGTACACACACATGCGTGCACACATACACACACATGTGTGCATGCATGCACGCGCACCCACGCACACATACAGGGGGGAATGAGCCTCGTCCCTCGCACAACGAACTGAATTGCCTCGCGAGACACGCTTTTCCAGTCACATCACCCCCATCGCTCACAGCAGGGAGAGAGGGTGACAGCAGAGAGAGTGTGACAGCAGGGAGAGTGTGACAGCAGGGAGAGTGGATGACAGCGGGGAGAGTGGGTGACAGCAAGGAGAGTGGGTGACAGCAGGGAGAGTGGGTGACAGCGGGGAGAGTGGGTGACAGCGGGGAGAGTGGGTGACAGCGGGGAGAGTGGGTGACAGCAGGGAGAGTGGGTGACAGCGGGGAGAGTGGGTGACAGCGGGGAGAGTGGGTGACAGCGGGGAGAGTGGGTGACAGCTGCGAGAGTGGCTCACAGGGAGGTGAGTCGTGTGAGGTTGGTGATGACATCTGGAATGGTGTCGAATCCCTGTTGGGTGATCAGAGACGTTGGGCTGGCGTGGCGCAGAGGGGGGGCGGAAAGAGAGGGCGGAAGGAGAGGGCGGGATGGGCGGGCGGAAGGAGAGGGCGGAAGGAGAGGGCGAAAGGAGAGGGCGGAGGGAGAGGGCGGAAGGAGAGGGCGGAGGGAGAGGGCGGAGGGAGAGGGCGGAGAGAGAGGGCGGGAGGAGAAGGAGGAGGGAAAGCAAGGATAGAGAAATGAAGGATAAGGCTTCGCAAGGGACCCATGATAGACGGCAGTAGGCACCAGCACCCATCGTCATCACATCATCATCACCAGCAGCAGCGGCAGCACCAGCAGCAGCAACACCCATTATCATCACATCACCACCACAAGCACCAGCACCAGCAGCAGGAGCGTGAGGAGCAGCAGCAGCAGCAGCAGCAGCAGCAGCAGCAGCAGCAGCAGCAGCAGCAGCAGCAGCAGCAGCAGCAGCAGCAGCACCATCATCATCACCACATCATTGAAACCAGCACCACCAGCATCATCACCACCACAAGCAGCAGCAGCAGCAGAACTAGCACCCATCGGCATGGGGGCGTACGTGATCGAGACGATGAAGCCTTTTCTGTCGCACTCACGAGTGGCCATCAGCGGCACCAGCAACCATCATCAGCACATCACCAATATCATCATCAACATCACCACAAGCAGCAGCAGCAGCAGCAGCAGAACTAGCACCCATGGGCATTGGCGCGTACATGATGGAGACGATGAAGCCCTCTGTGTCGCACTCGAGCACGGCAATGAGCAGCAGCAGCTGTACCAGTACCCATCATCATCACATCAGCATTACCACAAGCACTTGCACTCATGGGCATTGGCGCGTACGTGATGGAGACGATGAAGCCCTCCGTGTCGCACTCGCGCACCACCTGCGTGTTATACAAATCCGCGCAGTCCCCGCCGTTCACAATGTCGATTGCCCACACCTTGGACAGCTCCTTGAGAGGCGGGACTGAAGCGAGAGGAAAGAGGAGGTAGAGGGGAGGGCGGGGACGGGAACGAGATTTCTGAGGCGCCCCTAGGATTGACCTGGGTGTTATACGTGTCCGCACAGGCGCCGCCGTTGACAATGTCGATTTCCCACACCTTCGATAGCTCCTGGAGAGGCGGCACTGCGAATAGAGGAGGGCCCCTCATTCCAGTGGGAGGGGGGGGGGGGGGGAGGAACTTCCAGGCGCCTCAAAATCGACCTGATAGCTATTCGAGGCCGCGCAGCCGCCGCCGCTGATGATATCCTGTTACCCACTCGCCGCCTCAGAAACTCCCGTAGACAGCTCCTTAAGAGGCGGGATCCCGCAAAGGGGGGTGAAGGGGTGGAAGGGGGGGAGGATGGAGGAGGTGGATTATCTTGAAGATATATGTGGTCGCACAGCCACCTGTGACGATGGTGTCGATGCCTCACACCAACTCCTTCAACGAGTTAATAGCAGTTGCCCCTCAGCCTCACAGCGAACAAGAGGGAAGAGTCTGCTTATTATGGGTGAATAAATCGATGCCTCACAGCCTTGATATTCCTAGTAAAGAAGCAGGATTTCAGAGAGGGAGGGAAAAGAGAGCAGCGCAGAGGGTTGAATACTATGAAAAGCAGAAAAGGGGGAGGAGAGGTCACGTCATCATCTCTATGTCCTCGCTTTGCTAAAAGGTTCGGTTTTTGGGGTGCGCATGAAATGCGACGCGCCGATGCGACGCGACGCTGCGACGAGCTTACGTTGCGACTGTTCGATGAAGGGAATCGCTTCTGCGACGAAGTAGTGTCCGACGCCGCGTGTGCCGCCGGTCCCCATCCCAGTGGGATCAGGAACGAGAAGTGCGAGGAGGAGAACAATAGTCGTGCCTTTGAATAGCCTTTTTGGGGACACTGCCGCGCCGCCGTTTCTCGCCATTTAACTGTGACTGACTGTTCTTAATGATACTACTTTTGCAGGAGAATTACTTGAGAAGAGATGTTGCTGGTTCAAATGGCTTTCGCTGCTTCTGGATGAGACACATCGATGCGACTCCTACTATGGCTTTTAGCTCAAGATTGTGTGAGTGACTGATACTAGGGTTGGATGTGTTGCTGTGCTGGAATGATGAATACAATTAGGAAGGGTTCTTGAATGGAAAAGATGGCTGAGAATGAATGGAAAAGGAAACCCCCATGTGAATATGAATGCGAACTAAGGCAGGAAATTTGAGGTTTTTGGTGCGGTGCGCTACGGTACGACGCATACGTCTAAATTCCTAGGCTTGCGCGCGAACGTTCTGCCGCAGTTGCCTTGCTGGACGCCATGACAGCATTCTCTCTCAACGAGTAAGTGCCACGAAGGATTCAACGTTAGTCTTTGAAGCTTTCGTGATACGAGAACCGTCGATCTTAATCGAGATTTATACCGGAGCCCACGAACTTGCTGCGGTGGGAGGAACCGTGCACGAGCAAGAAGCCCAAGTGGGTGCTTTTGCTGAGCTGGACGACCGGGGTCATCGCCCGCCCGGTCGTCAATGTCAATCTTAGTTTGGCGGTGTGCTGGCGGAATTAGGTCGCACTACTTTCTTAGACCAATCGCAACGACCGAATTCTGACGATCGAAGGTTCCAGCATCTGTGACGCAGACAGACATGCATCAGCAACAAATGTACAAGGGCGTGTAGCGCCCTTGTAACGCGTATTTATATGGGACTGTTACAGTAAATTCTCTATCATATGCGACTTTCTCTCATATTGTGTCAGTAGGTTGCTTCTTGTAACAGAATTGAGCGAAGCTTGAATCAGAAAGTGATATAAAGTAGATCATTCGACCATGCGAGCACTTATTAATATACTACATGGATATTCAAGAGAAGTGGTCACTTTGCTGAAATTGATTGTTCGTTTCGATATACCCTCCTCTTACACGGTTGAGTGTACAAGATATAAGGTGTTAAGGGGGGATTTACTGTTCATTCCGAACAGTACTTTCCAACTCACCCTTATCCTTATCTTCTTTGATTTCCTAGTGCCACGTGGCACTCTACTTTTCTTGCCTTCAATTCCTAGTCCCACGAAGTACTTTCCGACATTCGATCTTGCATGCTATATCAACCTTGCTTGTACTTGCCATAATCAATCAATTCTCATTCAACTCTTCTTCAATTACTCAGTAACTTCTTCGCCTATTTCGCCAATAGTTCTTTCGCCAAAGTCTTCCGCCGCGTTTCATCCTCGACTTAGTCGACCCCGCTAATTCTTTAGCGGACTTAGGCCGTCGGGCCTAACATAAGGAGTCACGTCATGTCGCATAACAGAAGTTCTCCACTCCCCATCGCTGTCTCGAATCCCACCTTCGTCTCCCCTGGAAGTTCCGTCATGTCCCGTCATTCTGTTCCGTCACAGACCGTCAGGCACATCCTTCACGCCACACTTCCACACCACACCACGCCTCAATGTAACAAACCATACCATACCACACCTAACCACATTGAACCAAGGCACAGCAGCTCAGCACCATATTGCCCTACATGGTGCGCTCCATCCGCCATAGCCAAAAACATCACCCATCCAAGACTGGCTTTGCAGGATCCATTTCACGCACCCGTTCGCGTTGAATCGGCTTCAGCTGATCCATAGCTCTGCTTGTCGGAAAAACGAGGATAGGTTTTCACGAGACGTAGCGTAGCGAGGCCTTCGCGTTTCATAGAACCACCACCTTCCAACGTCAGGTTCCTTGAAAGACTTTCGATTAGATCCATTGAGGACAGAGCCACTTGAATTTTGCTCCCTTGTTGGCATAATTCTGTAAGAACGGGTTTTCTTTCTTAGCAAGAGGTTACGTAGTGTGACCTACTCTAGGAGAGTTTCGATCCAGGGTTTCAATCCGACGGCTTGCAAGTACGCATTCCAATCCAGCGGTCCGCAATGAAGCAGAAGCTTTCCGTGAAGCCGCATCCGCATCAACCACCAATCTCCGTCACCCTAACCGACGAAGCTGACGTGGCAAACGAGTGGGTCCAATCGTTCGCCGGGTGGGACGTGACGTCAGGTCACCAGCACCGGATCATGCTGGGGATGGACATCAAATGTCAACCAATCAGATCACGAGGCCGGGAAGGCAGCGTGGCGCTAGTCCAGCTCAGCAACAGCTCCCACTGCCTGATTCTCCAAATGCTCTACATCGATCGAATGCCTGAAGAAGTCGCGGAGCTTCTCGAGAACCCCGACGTCCCGATCGGCGGGTGCGGGATCGAGGCCGCGGCGAAGCTGCTCGAAACCGACTACGGGTTACCATGTAACGGGATCGTGGAGCTGGGACAGCTCGCGGCGAAGATCTACCACAACAAGCGGTGGCGACAGGCGGATTTGGACGAAATGAATTACCAGCTGGTGGGGACGCCGGTGATAAAGCCGCGGCGAGTGGGACCCGCGGAGTGGTGGCGACAGGGGCTCGGGTGGAATCAGATCCAGCTGGCGGTTCTCGACGCGTGGATGGCGTTTTCTGTCTTTTCTGAACTCGCGATCAAGGCGACCGGGAAAGCCGTCCGACCGTCGCACGGGAGAGCGGGTGTGTGAGAGAGAGAGGAGAGAGGCGGGGGGGTCTCTAGAGAGGCGCGGGGGTCAGGGGAGAGGCGCGGGGGTCAGGGGAGAGGCGCGGGGGTCAGGAGAGAGGCGCGGGGGTCAGGAGAGAGGCGCGGGGGTCAGGGGAGAGGCGCGGGGGTCAGGAGAGAGGCGCGGGGGACAGGGGAGAGGCGCGGGGGACAGGGGAGAGGCGCGGGGGTCAGGGGAGAGGCGCGGGGGTCAGGGGAGAGGAGACCGAAGGGGCGATGTTGGCGCTGACGTTGACACTGAAGGAGATGGGTGTAGGCACGGGGTGAATCAATTCTGCAAGTATCTTACCTTTGTTCGCGCGTGGGTGGATAAGTGCTGTTTCCATCTCAGCTCCGCAGCTTGTATACTGGCCAGGGTGAATGGGTGTGTGTGTGTGTGTGTGTGTGGATGTGGGGATGTGGGGATGTGGGGATGTGGGGATGTGGGGATGTGTATGAGTCGCCCAGGTGTTGATGTTGGTACGGTATGTGTGTCGATGGCGTGACCATCAACGTAGAAGCATTGCATCCGTGCATGCATTCGTGCAGACACCAAATGGCGAGGTGCTGTGTAGGTTGTAGGGTAGTAACACGGTATGTCAGTGCAGTGGACACACACAGCACAGCTTGTGCTAGTGGATTTAGGTGCGTCTGTAGAGTTATTCTGCTGTGGTTGCTATAGAGTGTCCGGTCCGGGGTCACCTAGTACCAACAGTAGGCATAGGATAGGTGGTCTCGGTAATGGTGGATTATGTTCGGTTTTAGCACAGCTAGTTGTTGCAGTGGGGGGGTTTGTATGCTAAAGTACACAGGTCCGTGAGTCTGGTGCTGCTGTAGTCACTGGGTCCGTTGGCTCCAGTCCAGGAATTTCAGACGGACCACCTTAGAATACTACAGTATACCATTATGTTGCTGTATGCAGCATCAGGCTTTGAACTTCTATGTACCATAATTATGAAATTTATTGCCAAGCAAGCTGTTGGGGACATACCATACCATACCTTACCGTACTCCACCAGCCCCCTTCCTGGTTTATACTCAACTCAGATGCTCAGCAGTCTTCAAGCAGCCTATACTGAAAACTATCTAGGTAGCAATGGTAGCTCGATGGTGTAGATGCTCCCATTACGCTGTCAGTGACAGAATTCCAAGAATGGCATACAGAACCTACAGTTTGACTGCGCAGCTGCGCCTTGCAGCAGGCCTGCTCTTCAGCCAGCACGTGGCGTGCCTCCTCCCCTGCATGCATACACCAGAAGGCTCACCCATCCATGTGCTTCAAGGCCACATGAAGGGGAGCCGATGCGAAGGTGTGTGTGTGCTGCTGCTGAGGGCACAGCAGAGCGCAATTCAGAGCAGCATTCAACATCTTGCAGCATCTTCAGGGCAACGTTGCCTTACTCACTCACACCATCACTGTCAGTTGAGGCCTCCAGGCATGAAGAGGCGCCCCGCACGGGTAGAAGGTGGCGGGGTGGACAACGCAGCGCACCCCATGGAGGGTGCAGCAGCATGCGGCAGGTTGCAGCACATAGTGATTTATTGCAGGCATTGCTCACGTTTCCAGTCAGTTTACATTGTTCAAGGCCTTTGAAAGCACATCCAGGGGAGCAGATGTGAAGCAGGTGGCAGGGTAGACAGCAGAGCCCTGTGCCGGGTGCAGCAGCCCGCGTTGGCCCTAACCATTGGTCAGTTGACGTGTTTCAAGGCCTCTAGCAGCACTTCTAGAGGGGCAGACGTGAAGAAGGTGGCGGGGTAGACAGCAGAGCCCCACTGGGGGTGCAGCAGCACCTTGCAGCAGCCCGCATTGGCCACCGGATACCCCAGCAGCGTCTGTGCTGCTTCCACCTCGCCGTAATATGTCTGGCTGTTGCGGTTCACCATCTGGTGTGGCGTGGGGGGCGGGGATGGGAGAAAATGACAGGGAGGGGGTGAGAGGAAGGACAGCAGCACCTTGCAGCAGCCCGCATTGGCCACGGGGTACCCCAGCAGCGTCTGTGCCGCTTCTACCTCCCCGTAGTATGTTTGACTGTTGCGGTTCACCATCTGGTTTGGGGGGGGGCATTGGGCGGGGGGAAAGAGGGCGGGGAGGGAATATGGGGCCATGTCTGTGCCGCCTCCACCTCACCATTGCATGTCTGCCTGCTGCGGTTCACCATCTGGTGAGGGGGGAAGGGGAGGGGATGGAGAGGTGAGAGGAAGGGGACTCTAGCGCCATGTCTGTGCCGCCTCTAACCCCCCGTAGTACGTCTGGCTGCGGCGGTTCACCATCTGATGTTGGGGAGGGAATGTTGATCATGTGGTTCAAAGGGGATGTGACTGTTCGCACAGGTCAATGCAGTCGACACAGTCAATGCAGTCAACAGAGTCAATGCAGTCAACACAGTCAATGCAGTCAAGGAGGCTGTTGTGAGACGTCTCAAAGCAGTCAACAGGAGACGTACAGGGAGGCCAGAGCAGGGATCAATGTAGTCAGTTCAGTGAATGCAGTCAATGCAGTCAATGCAGTCAACGCAGTCAACGCAGCCGACGCAGTCAATGCAGCAAGGGTACGTACAGGGAGGCCAGAGCAGGGGTCGATGTAGTCAGCGAAGTGACCGTGCTGGGAGAGGCGCTCCACCAGACCCGAGGCAAACGCTGCAAACTGCAGAGAGGCAGGCAGATGGGCGGGCAGATGGGCGGGCAGATGGGCGGGCATGAGGGGGTGAAGGGAGGAAATGGCAGGGAGCCTTTGTGAGAGAGGCAAGAGGTGGTGACGAGGCCAACGGCGGAGGCAGTGCGGCGTAGAGAGGAGGAATGAAGAGCACTGGCAGGAACGGGAGTGGAGCCTGGAGGCTGGAAGCACCAAGGGCACAGGGCGGGTGAGGGACGCGCTGCTGCTGCTGCTGCTGCTGCGACGAGAGGCAGATCACGAGGTCAGATAGAAAAGCGGGCACGTTCTTGTGAATCCGGTATCCGGCCTTGCACAGGACTAAAACAGCGCATACTCGTTACAAATACCGCCTCGAGCAGCAGGCGGTCCTTCTCCTTCACAACCTCCTCCCCCGTGTTCACCAGATCCACCCATGAACCCCCTCCCACCCCCATCCCCAACCGCAACTGCACCCGCACGCGCACGCGCACCTGCACCCACACCCACACCCAGACCCAGACCCAGACCCAGACCCAGACCCACACCCACACATGCACTACCGCAGTCCATACTCGTTATTACCGTCTCCAATAAGCGGTCCTTCTCCTTCTCAACCTCCTCGCCCGTGTTCACCAGATCCACGCGCGCCCTCTGCTGCGTGGGCAGAATCAAAAGTTTCGACACGTCCTGCAGGGGAAACAGGGACTCCATATCCTGCTTGTACTGCCTCGGGCAGCCTGAAGAGAAAAACAGCATGGAGAGGGCCGAGAGGGAGGAGATGGTGGGGAGGAAGTGTTTTGAGACGGTAGATTTGAGACGTCTCATATTCTTGAAGATAAAAATGACAGAGAGAGGGCCGAGGGAGGCGAGGGAGGAAATGGTGAGGAGGAGTGGAGGGACGGAAGGAGGAGTGGATGTGACACGCGGATGTGACACGCGGATGTGAGCAGCGGCAGGGTGGTGCGAAGACGGGAAGGAAGGGAAGGTAACGGGCGAGTGGGAAGGTAACGGGCGAGTGGGAAGGTAACGGTCGAGTGGGAAGGTAACGGTCATGGCGTCAATTCAACGCCAGCAGGTTACATCCGCGTCGCGACAAAAGACTCACTCAACTGTGAACGGAGTACTCGAGGCCGGCAGACGTCCGCAGCACGTCCGTCAGCGCGTATTTCCGTCTAAACTGACGGTCGGCAGGCTTCGCCGTCCCGTCATCGCCGACGGCCGTCATCTCTGCCGGCTGCCGACAGACGTCGTCAATTGGCGCTAACGACGTTGACAGGGGTGCTGGTAGCGGCTCTGGAAGAGCTAACGTCGTTTGGGAGCCGGCAGAGATGACGGTCGGTAACTCGCGACGGCGACGGATGGGAGGTCGACGAGCGACTGGGAACGGGCGAGGCGCAGGCTAGGAGCAGCAGGAGAGAAAAGGCCGCGAATGGGGCGTGTGGCAGAATAGGTGGGGGATGGGGAGAGAGAGGAAGGTCGGTCGAGCTGATCACAAGGTGCGATCCGTCCCGTGCTGTGTAGTGAAATGAACAGGGCCGTCATGTATGGAGACAAATACGTTTGTAGGAAACTGGGTCGGAACACTTTGGAAGCAAGACTGCGGTAAGCATCGGTTTTGGCTTTGTGTGGGATTCAGCAAGGTGCGATGGAGTGAGACAAGATTTTGGGTTGTGCGTTTTTCGGGGCTGAAATAGATCTGCCGAACCCGTTACTAACAGTCACGAAGTGAATGTATAGGAGCTATGTTACAAATATATTCAGTCAACCAGACATGCAATAGTTCCATGGAAATAGATCAGTCTCAACACACGGTCTAGATGGTTGGCTGGCATAGCAAGGACACACTGCAATGTCTCAGCAATCATAATCATAAAATAAATAATTATGGCAAAAAGCTAATGGCTGCTGTATCTTACGAAATCCATTGTGCTAAGAACGCCTCCCTAACGTAGCTAGAAACAAAGACAAACCACATGAGGTCAAGAAAGCCCCCGAAAATAACAAATTACCGGCAATCTCTGGTCTTAACAACGAAACTTTTTGGTGGAAGAGAGGAACTCGACTAGAGCGATGCGAGAGAGGAAAGCTTGTGCCGCGTGCCTTGCTTTCAAGGACGAGCATGGCATGGGAGATCCCATCCCATCCCATAACACCACTGTGATGCATGCGGTGCGGTTCATTCGCGGCTGTAGGGTTTGACCAAGCAAGCAGCAAGCAAGCAACATAAGCTACTTGCGAAACTTAAAAGGAAGCGAGGGTGGGGAACAGACAGGATGATCATCTGCTGGCTGCTGTAGGGGAAGGCACGTGTGCTTGGATGATAGGCTACTCCAGCATAAGGGGCGAGCGTGTAAGGAGTATATCAGGATAAAGGAGAGGCTAGCAGGCTTTGAATGAAGAGAGGCTAGCATAGCGCGACTTGACAGAAAAGAGAGGGGGGGACTAGCGGGCATTGAAGGGAGGAAGGGCTGATGAGCTTGAGCATGTGCTGCCATGGGCCCATGGCAGGCACCACGAGCACGAGAGGCGCTTGATCCTTGATCTGAAGGGCATGTGCAGCATGCTCCCAGGTAGGCTCTTGAGCGGGATAGACAGGTGTTGAAAGAAGAGGGGCTGACGGGATGGAAGGAGACCTAGAGGGCGTTGAAGGAGGGGAGGCTTTTGAATTTGAGCATGTGCTCCCAGGGCACCACAAGCAAGAGAGCATGCCGCGTGCTCTTAAGCAGGAAGGTGGGGAGGCTAGTGAGCAATACAGGCTGAGAGGCTATCGGGCGTTGAAGGAGGAGAGGCTTTTGAACTTGAGCATGTGCTCCCAGGGCACTACGAGCACGGGGCACGTGCAGTTGTGCAGCAGGTAGTCGCTCACACTGCCCTTCACGGCCCTGCGGATAGGTAGGAGTGGGGTGGGGGATCGGAGTGGAGGAGAGAGAAAGGTGGAAAGAAATGAACGAAAGAAGTCCGTTTAGCAGGTGGTCACTCACACTGGCTTTCACGGCCCTGAGGAGTGGGCACGGGGGTGGGTTGGGGGAGGGAAGTGGAGAATAGCACTGGTTGAAAGAGAAGGAAAGAGAGACGCCAGTGGCGCAGCAGAAAATCGCTCACACTGGCTTTCACGGCCCTGAGGAGTGGGCACGGGGGTGGGTTGGGGGAGGGAAGTGGAGAATAGCACAGGTTGAAAGAGAAGGAAAGAGAGACGCCAGTGGCGCAGCAGAAAATCGCTCACACTGGCTTTCACGGCCCTGAGGAGTGGGCACGGGGGTGGGTTGGGGGAGGGAAGTGGAGAATAGCACAGGTTGAAAGAGAAGGAAAGAGAGACGCCAGAGGCGCAGCAGAAAATCGCTCACACTGGCTTTCACGGCCCTGAGGAGTGGGCACGGGGGTGGGTTGGGGGAGGGAAGTGGAGAATAGCACAGGTTGAAAGAGAAGGAAAGAGAGACGCCAGTGGCGCAGCAGAAAATCGCTCACACTGGCTTTCACGGCCCTGAGGAGTGGGCACGGGGGTGGGTTGGGGGAAGGGGAGGTGGGGAGGGAGGTTGAGCGTGGGGATGGGAGCAGGAGAGAGAAAGACGAAAAAGAAAGAGAGACGCCAATTGTGCAGCAGGTATCGCTCGCTCACACCACCCTTTTCTTCAGCAGGACCTTCTTTAGAGTGTCGAATCTGAGTGCCAAAAACGAACCACGTTCTGGTCATCTTGGAGCATTGCCACCACCCAAATCACACCACCATCAGCACTCACCAGCAGAAACAGCTTTTGAGTCGACTCAAAACCAGCAGGAGCAGCTTTTGAGTTGACTCAAAACCAGCAGGAGCAGCTTTTGAGTTGACTCAAAACCAGCAGGAGCACCACCAGGACCAGCAGCAGCAGCCACATCAAGCAGCAGCTCTATAGAGTCACATTATCAGCTCTATGTCCTGCCTGCCAGACCATAGCACTACAGAGTCACAGCAGCAGCATTTCGATATAGTCACACCTATTGGTGGTACCTTTGGCCTCACTCACCTGCCCCTCATTCACTCACCTGCCCCTCATTCACTCACCTGCCCCTCATTCACTCACCTGCCCCTCATTCACTCACCTGCCCCTCATTCACTCACCTGCCCCTCATTCACTCACCTGCCCCTCATTCACTCACCTGCCCCTCATTCACTCACCTGCCCCTCATTCACTCACCTAGCAACAGCGCTGAGGTGTCTCGTGCCCACGACGAGCTCTATGTCCTGCCTCACCACCAGTCCATACAGTCACACCAGCAGCAGCAGCAGCTCGATACAGTCACACCTGTAGGCACTTCTAGCGGCCACTCACCGCGCAACGGCGCTGAGGTGTCTCATGCCCACGACCAGCAGCTCTATGTCCTGCCGCACCATCTCTCTGCACACTCACACCAGCAGCACCTCTTGGCGTCACCAATGCTCACCTAGCGACGGCACTGAGCTGTCTCGTGCCCACGACGAGCAGCTCTATGTCCTGCCTCACCACCGCCTCGCATATCTCCTGCCGCCGATCACTCGCCTTACGCGACACCCCGTGGCAGATCACCTGGTGTGGCGGATGAGGGGTGGCACATGAGGGGTGGCACATGAGGGGTGGCACATGAGGGGTGGCACATGAGGGGTGGCAGATAAGGGGTGGCAGGTGAGGGGTGGCAGGTGAGGGGTACGTTTTGACACATGTTGATCGTGTGGGGTTTGTTTGTTTGGTTTGTAGGCCATCAATGGGTACCCTTGGGCAACACCCCGTGACAGATCACCTGGTATGGCGGAACAAGGGGTATGTAATGATACATGTGGATTGTGTGTGGTTTGTCGGTTTGTAGAGAGGTGACATCCCGTGGCAGATCGCCGGAAGTGACGGAACAAGGGGTGCGTGATGACGCACGCTCATCCCAAGGCTAAGCCAGTGTTGGTAGCTCTGCAATGCACACTGCACCACCACACTCACCGTACCCACCAGTAAGATACTCACCTCGCAGTGACACTCACCCCGCAGTGACACTCACCCTGCAGTGACACTCACCCCGCAGTGACACTCACCCTGCAGTGACACTCACCCCGCAGTGACACTCACCCCGCAGTGACACTCACCCTGCAGTGACACTCACCCTGCAGTGACACTCACTCCGCAGTGACACTCACCCCGCAGTGACACTCACCCTGCAGTGACACTCACCCCGCAGTGACACTCACCCTGCAGTGACACTCACCCTGCAGTGACACTCACCCCCTTAACATGCACCAGCGTGAGGTCTTTTGAGGCGCCTCAAAAGTCGTCTCCTGTCTCGCGGTTTTTATGTGGGGAGAATTATAATTGCATGGAAGTGTGCGCGTAACCTTCAGCGGTTACTTGTAAGGGCGCGGTTACCAAAGTCACTCGCCAATGTTGTCGAAGAAGTTCCCGAAGGCTGACTTGGCACCCTGAATTTGTTTCATTGCCTAGTTGGCGAACCCCTTTCCTAGTTGGATTCTGGGTAGTCGGGTTTCTTGTATGTAGATCTCGAGGGTAGTCTAGCTACTTTAGCTGCTACCAGACTCTCTGTTTCTGAGTTCCGAATTGTGCTGTACTGATGAAGGCGTGATTGGGTTCGCCCATCCGCCGAAACTAGTTTACGCAAGGAGGCTTTTCGGAAGCTAAGGGTTTTTCAGATCTGCGTTTTTTTTTTCACCAGTTTTCACTGTTTGTTCCTTTGCTTAAGCGTCCTCTCTGCTACTGCAGCCCTTCGAAACATGAGTCAGGGTCACCCCCTTAACATGCACCAGCGTGAGGTACCGGTGTGGCAGCGCATCCACGCGCGCATCAATCGATGCATGCCTGCACCGTTCTCTCAATGCCAGAGGGCAATCCGCCCTGTCGTACGTTACGCGCACGTGCTAGTATGACACTCAACCCCCCAAAGCCATGCCATGCAACCCACCCCTGCAGCGACACTCACCCCCTTGCCGTGAGCCAGCTTGCGGTAGCGGTGTAGCAACGCATCTACCCGTGCGTCTATGGCTGCCTGCACCTCACCGCCGCCACCGCCGCCGCTGCCGCCGCTGCTGCTGCTGCTGCCTGCCCCCGCCTGCTGGGCCTCCGCCCGCCACGCTGATACTGCCAGGGCCAAGTGGTGGGATGGGGTTGGATGGAATCGGATGGGGTGGAGCGACCAGAGAGGCGTTGTGAAGGAAAGAGGGTGGGGGGTGGTGCTACTGCTGCCCACAGGTGGCGTGACAAGCAGAAGAACGGATGGGAGAGGGGTGGCAGCAGGTTTACAGACACATGACATGGCATGAGATGGCACGGCACGGCACGGCACGGCAAAGCACAGCACAGCACAGCATTGCCTGACACGGACTAACGCACATGTCACATGTGCGCGGGCCAAGCATGTGTAGCATGTCGATGTTGTCGCTGCGCCTCAGGAGGGAGGATTGACACATGGCATGGTATGGCATGGCATGGCATGGCATGGCATGGAATGGCATGGCATGGCATGGTATGGTATGGTATGGTATGGCATGGCATGGTATGGCATGGCATGGCATGGTATTGCATGGCATTTGTGGGCGGAGGGAACAACATACATGTGCGCGGGTCCAGCACGTGCAACACGTAGATGTTGTCGCTGCGTCGGAGGAGGGGTGATTTACACATGGCATGGTATGGCACGGTAGGTATGGCATGAAACAGCATGGCATGGGTGGGGTAGAGGGGACAACTCACATGTGCGCTGGTCGAGCACGTGCAACACGTAGATGTTGTCGCTGCGCCTCAGCAGGGCTCAGTGAGCTATGGTATGGTATGATGTGGCATGGTATGATGTGGCATGGCATGGGTGGGTGGGGCAGCTCACATGTGCGCGGGTCCAGCACGTGCAGCACGTATATGTTGTCGCTGCGCCTCAGCAGCGTGAGCGCGTAGCGGAAGGCCTGCCGGGGCAGCCCAAGTACGCACGTGGGGGAGGAAAGGGAGGGGTGGGGAGGGGTGGGGAAAGGTGGGAAAGGGTGAGGAGGGGTGGAGAGAGGTGGAGGGGATGGGTGAAGGTGGCAAAGAGGCATTGTGAGGAACGCGAGGCGCAGGTCGCGTGGGAGAGAGAGGGGGGGGTTGACGACAGATCGGATGTCTGATGAGGAGGGGAAGGCGGAGATGGGGGACGTGAGAAAATGGAGGAGGGGGGGAAGGAAGAGGGGAAGGAGGGCGAGGGAGACGGCGGGAGGGTGGAAAGAGGGTAAAGGCGGAGAGGCGGCGCCGGCACGTGCGGCACTCACGGCCTCGGCGCCGTCCGATTCGTCGACGGCCACGAGGATTCGCGGCGAGCCCCCCGGCCTCGGCGTGGGCGGCGCGGGCATCGAGTCACCTTCCATCCGTGCCGTGACACGCCCGCGCACGACTGCTGCAGCGACTGCCGCAGCGACTGTCGCGGCGAGCGGAGAGGGAGCTGACTGCCTGTGGCTATCTGGCGACGAGCTTGCTGCAGCCTCTCTTTGCTTCCATGAACGGCGCGAGAGGCAGTTGATAGTACAGTAATGAATTATAAACGTACTAATATAATAACAACGTAAAAGAGTAGCTAGCTAGAGAAGAGACTGCACTCTTAGCGAAGAGCCGGATTATATTCGTCTGGTAACGATTTAGTACCAAGCAGCTTGCATTGCGAGCGAAAGAGAAGCCAAAGTCAATTGAGCGCGACGCGACCGTTGAACAAAGCACGCGTGATCGCGCAAGCTACCACGTCGCCGTCCGATACAACCTCTTAACGAAACGACTATTTAACCGTCCTCTACAATCTCGATCGATTGATGAAGGACCCAATGCACCAACGGCGGTATTAGGGATGCCAATGCCAGGCACTACGTCGTGCTGTAAGAGCGGCCGCACGGAAATGCGATTGCGAAAAGGTGGACGCAATTGGCCATGGCGGGTAAAAGAAAACAGAAAAAGACAATGATTGTTGTTGTCTGCTTGGTAGCAGGCGGTCAAGGTATTCCCAAGCCAAGGTTGGGCTGCCGTTCGAGCGAGAGCTTTCGTGACCTGCAACGACGCTGGGGGGTGAAGGCTTCAATTCGGCTATAATTAGTTGAGTTCGATTCGAATGTGTTTTGGGTAGTTACGAATGGGCTGCGCTGGGTTGTGTGCTCACGACAGAGACTCGCTATGGCAGCCTTGTTGTGGTCCTTCGGGGGTTAACGGAGAACAGCTCTTAAAAGTGCTCTTGCAATACGGTATAAGCGATGCTAAGGTGAAACAAGCTTAAGTACTGTTTGAAAAATAATGAGGATGATGCGTTTTAGCAGACAGGATAGGGCCCCTCTGCCCTATATTATATACAAAGTGTCTTACGAATGCACAAGCAAAAGCTAACTGAAGATGAAGAGGACATTCAAAGGGTGGATACAAAATAGAGAGAGGGAGGAACAAGGTTAGAAGGGGGGGGGATCTGGGGAGGGGAAGGGGGTAGGTGGGAGTTGGGGGGGTGGGGGGAAGGGGGGGAGCGGGACAGAGGTCAAGGTTGAGGGAAGATAGAACAGACGAAATAAACAAAAAAGATGGAAGGCTGGCTCTACTCATCCAACCTTCACTTCACTCAGCACAACCAGCCATTTCATCCCCAAATCAAGACCCTCCAATACACCCAACCCCACCCTCACATGCAAACCTGATCCGCAGCTACCCCCACAAAAACCGCAAGGTTGACCAACGGCCCTTCCACCTCGGGAATTCTCATCAAGTCAAGCGAGTCAACCACCACCACCTCCCCTCCCCCCTCCGCACTCCTCCTGAGTGCTACCCGGATCCTCCCCCTCCCCACGTCCACCCCAGCCGGCACAGCCACACTCGCATATGACAGCCCTTGGATGCTCACTTGCAGCAGGTGGATCTGACGGCTGTGACGAAACCCCGACTTCACCACCCGAATGCCGTGACGAGGCTTGCCGCCCTCCACTAAATACAACCCCTTCAGCTCCCCTTTCGGCACACTGTCTCTCTCCCAGAGAGAAATAAAATCTCCAACCACGGTTTCAGTCTCGGGGGAAGGCTGGGGACCCATGCCCTCTCGGGCCATCTGCCTGGCAGGCACCACCCTCCAGTGCTGCGCCTTGTTCTTCTCATCCCCGCTCACCGCTTCCAACCGTTCCCAATAGTAATGATCCAACACCATCCTCGTCTTCTTGTTCTTCAATACAACATACACGCCTCCCTCTACGTCTTTCAGCTGCCACTTGTGAAACTCGCTGCTAAAATCGTTATCATAAGCGCCGATCCGCCGCCCGCTGTAATGATCCAGAACCAGCCCGGAGGCTCGATTCTGTAACACGTGGTAACCCTTTTCCGTCTTCACAGCGCGCCACTGCTGCTCCAAGGCCCCCCACTCATAATCCACAGCCTCTACGCTCTCCTCGCACACAGCCAGCGCCTTCCCACTGTCCCGGTTGAACACATAGCTCCACGGCCGGTCCACCACAAGAGCAAGGCTCGCGGACCCCTCACCACCACCCTGCACCGCTTTGCACCACTTGTCACCGCTCTCGTCCTCCTCCTGCTCCCAGTGCGCCTTCCCACCTGTGGTCCCTGCAGGGGTGATGGTCCAGTGGTGCTGGTACTGTAGCTCATCCTCGCTATAAGCCTGAATGCTTATCCCAAAGAAATGGTCCAGAACCTTCCCGCTGCCCCGGTTCTTGATCGCCCAGAACCCTCCACAAGCGCCTCTCAGCTCCCATTGGCTGTACTTCCCTGCCACGTGGCAGTCACTAGCTGCCACGTGGCTGCCCCACCAGGAGTGGCTCAGAACGAACCCAGAGGCGCGGTTCTGGAGGAAGAAGTAGCACACGGCTGGTGCTGCTGCCACCACGCCCACACTCACAGCGCGCCACTGCTGCTGCAGGCTGCCGCCTTCAAACTCCCGCGCCTCCACGCTGCCGCTCGCATGCGCAGCAAGGGCCATGCCGGTGACTCGGTTGCGGAGGTAGGTCCAGGGGAGCAGCACGGGTAGAGCCGTGGTGGAGTAGCGCTCGCCGTCAATCCCCTTGTCCGCCAACTCTGACCCCGCTTCAACCGCCCTTTCTGTCGGGTTACACAGGAGTTTCGGCATCACATGTGGCAGCTGGGACAGGCCGGATTCTGCTGATGGTGATGATGATGAGGGTTCACGTTTGGTGGGCGTCGTCGGTGTCGAGTTGTTAGGCAGCAAGGCTGGCGGCGAGAGTGGCAGCACGGGCGGCAGAGGTGCGGATTTACCAAGTGCAAGCCCCAGCGTAGATTGTTTAGGCGCCTCAAGAAGCACCGCTTTGGACTGGCGAGGCGCTTTGAAAAGCTCTGGTGGGGATCCCACCACGTCATCCACTGTTGCCTTGGCCACGTCATCAACAGCATCCGCGCGGATGGCGGCCCACTGGCAGCACGTGCTCGCCTCCACCGCCCCCAAGCTTCCTCGCACCTTCTCCCCGCACGTGTTCTCGAGAAACGCTCCCCCGTGGCGGCTCTGCAGCGTGAAGATCTCCAAACCATTGATTTCCGCCAGCAGCCATTGATTGCCCTCGCGAGTCACCTCGTTGTCCCTCGCCTGTGCTTCCACTGGCACTGCTGTTGCCCGTGATGCAGCTGCGTTACTGTATGATTCGGTTCCACTTGTAGCACCGCCAATGGTGAGCAGGGAGGAGTTCAGAGGCGCGTGAGGAGTCATCATGGTGGTGAGCAGAGAGCCGGAGGCGCGATTCTGGAGGCACGTGTAGCCCTCTGACACGGCAACCCGCCGCCACTGCTGGGTGACGTCATCGGGAATCGGCTCTACTGCTTTGACTGAGTTAGACTGTACAGTATTGGTACTAGTAGTAGCGACGGGGCTGCCACGCTTGACGGAATCCGTCAACGGCTGCTGATGCGAGTGCTGCAGCACCTTGCCGCTCCGGCGATTCCGTATGTACTCCCAAGGTCCGACGTAATACACTGCTGACGGAGACAGCTCCTCTATTTTCCACCAGTGGTTCGGGTTCCTCTCATCCCCGTTATACGCCATCACGGTACCGAGACTACGCGCCAACACCATGCCTGTACAGCGGTTTCTAATGGCGACGAGGCCTTTCCCGACGTCGTAGAGCTTCCACTGGTGGTTGAAATTCGACACGTCAGCATCTGGAACGGCGGTGACATCTTCGCCGCGCCAGTGGCCGATCGAATCGCCCGATTGCCGGTTCTTGATCGTGTGGTAACCGTCTCCCGCATCCAGAAACTGCCATTCCTGACTCTCGTCGCGCAGATTCCCGTCGCACGGATTCCCGTCGCACGGATTCCCGTCGCACGAATTCCCGTCGCACAGATTCTTCTCAACTTCTGTCATTTCCGTCTCCTCCGCTTGAAGAGTTTTCGCCGGAGCATCCTGTTCCTTCTGGCTCGCTCCGGTTTGGCTGCTGCTGTTAGTGTTTCGGACGTCCTCTGTTTTAGGTTTCAAAGACTCGGGCTCGCGGCCGGACGAAATAGTGACTAAATCGTCATCCTGAGAGAGCCATGCTTTCTCGAACGCGGCTCGAATGGTGTACCACATCTCGCTTTATTTCAACTCAATAATAAAGAGACGGTTAATTTAGGAGCAGGTATCCACGGTTCCAATCGTCTACTTCTACTAAGTGGTGTTAGTTGGAGATTCAAGAGCCGTTCGGTACCGCGGTGCAAGCTGCAACGGAGGAGACAACGGACTCGCATTTCCATTCCAACACCTTTTTGACGGGGACCTAAACAAGAGGCGGAGCAGGGGCCGAGGCGTGACAGAGGTGGACGGAGCGGGGAAAAAGGCCGATGAGACAGACGGGGCGCGGTGGTTGGGAGGAATAATTGCCAGCAGCGTGGTAGGCGCTGGGCGGACAGGCAAACCACCCGCTTGTTCTGCTGCTTGTCTTTCCGCTCCCTCCTACACCAGAAAAATGGCTTCGTCTGGGCTGTGCTGCTAGTGCATGCCTTGCCATGGCTTGCCAGGGAAGGTTCGGACATCTGAACCGTCGATGTGAGGAGGGTCCTTCCCGTTGTCCGACCGTAGAGCCGATTGACGCTGTGGTACAGTATTGAGGGACAACCCAACGAGGTTTCGCCACATCGCATTTGCCACGTTCGCCACAAGGTCCTGATTCGCTAGCTGCAGCTGTTACAGTCGCGAACGGTGGTGGTTTGGTTCGGCTCGGCACGACCAGCGCGGTACAGAATTTTGTCACAAAGCAGAAGGATTGGCTGGAACCACGTCGTTTCTTGTCGTCGCTGTTGTGTATACTGTACGATGTGACGCGGCTCGTAAAACATACCCAGACAGAATTAGCTCGATAAACGATACGGTGTCGACACTTCGAGCTGATATTGTAGTGATGTTTCAAAGCTTCAACTCCCTGATAACCACCAAACCTTGTAGTCAGCGTTTTTGCTGGAAGTCCCTTGCAATTTAGCGTCAGCAGTGCATCCGCATCTCGCGGGAAGGTTCAGGGTTAGCGTCCGCAGTGCGCCGCATCTCGCCCGATTTAGTCGGTTCAGCGGGCGATCAGACCTGCAATCTTTCACAAGAATCGCCATATCCCATCACTGAAACACGTGGCGTTTAGTAAAACCTGCAAACAGTCGCGACCGTGGAACACGTTTCGTCATTAAAACACGTCGCAGAGTCATGGCATGGAGTCTGGAGCGCATTTCACCACTTCACACGTCTCACACTTTTTCTCACTCGATACAGGGGCAAACTTTAGCGCGTACATCCCTAGCGCCCTGTTCCCTCCCTCGCACTAGTCAACGGCTAGCCGTTCAATGCGGTCGTCACGGCGGTTCACTTCGACGGCCGAGTGAGTGTAGTTACACAACAGCCGGAGTCCACGCTAGTTCACATCAGCCCCTACCAATCCGCTGCCTCCCTACCAGTCCGCTTCCCGCTACCACTCCGCTTGCCCATGCCGCTCCCCTCTCACTACTGCTCTGCTTCCCCCGGTCCCCCGACCACCCGGCAGAGTCCACCAGGCGGAAGTCGAAGCCCGCGCGTTCCGCGGATGGGCAGCGTGCGGGGAGGAGCGGCGGAGGGGGCGGGGGGGCGTCGGTGAGCGAGGAGGTGTTCTCCCTGGGGAAGGGGTGGCTTGTCGACCCCGCCGCGCTCATGGGCGGAGAGACGGGGGACGCGGAAGGGCGCGGGGGGGCGGAAAGGGGCAGGGGTGCAGACGGCGGAAGGGCGGTGAGCGCGGGGGGTGGGGGGAGTGAGGCGGTGGCAATTGCAGGGCTGGAGCCTGGGAAGACGCGCAGCACACACAAGCTGCTCAAGGTGTGTGGGGGGGTGTGCGTGGAGATGAGTGGCGGGGGGTGTTGAGTGGGAGGGAAGGAGAGGGGGTTTTGGGGGTTGTGGGAATGTGTGGGTGTGTGGTTGTGTGCGTATGTGTGTTTGTGATGTCCCCCCGCCTCTCCCTCCGCTTTCCTTTCCGCTTCCCTCCTCTCCCGCCCCTTCTGCATCCTCCCCAGCTTTCCTTCTCCTCCACCCGCCTCTCCCCATCCCCCTCCTTCATCCCCTCCCCTTCCCCGCCATTCCTTCCCTCTCCCCCCTCCCCCCTGTCCCCTGCAGAACGTCTGATGGGCCAACCGGGGGAGGCGTCTTCTGCACCCGCCCGACCGCAACATGCGCCCAATGATAGAGGCCGTGCAGGCGGCCACTTTAAACCCAAAGCCCGAAACATTAAAGCTACTGACACCAGACTTTCTTCTCCTATACCTACTCTCCTCACTCCCCCCTTCCTCCCCACCCCCTCCTCCCCTCCCTTTCCCCCCCTCCCCCCCCACCCCCCCCTCCCCCCCTCCTTTCCTCCTTTCTCTCCCTCCTCCCCCCTGTCCCCCCCTAGATCGTATCAGGCACCAACAGGGGGCGGCGTCTTCTGTCCCCTGCCGACCGCAACGTGCGCCCCATGATGAGATGGTGCGGGCGGTCACTTTAAACCCAACCTCCGAACCTTAAACCCCATGACACAATAATTTTGATCATCTACTCTTACTTCCCTCTCTTCCCGCTCCTCCCCACCCCCTCCTTCCCTCCTTTCCTCCTTTCCCTCCCTCCTCCCCCCTGTCCGCCCCTAGATCGTATCAGGCACCAACAGGGGGAGGCGGCTTCTCTCCCCCGCCGACCGCAACGTGCGGCCCATGATGGAGATGGTGCGGGCGGCGGTGTTCGACATGTTGCACGCGATGCTAGACGCGCCGCACCGCCTGCCGACTAGCTCGCGCTGGCTGGACCTATACAGCGGCACGGGGAGCGTGGGGCTGGAAGCAATGAGCCGAGGGTGCGGACAGGTGAGGAGAGTGGGGGCATGCGGGGCATGCGGAGCATGCGGGGCATGCGGGGCATGGGCAGTACCTGCCAGGCAGGCAGTCGGCTCGCGCTTGCTGGACCTGCACAGCGGCACGGGGAGCGTTGGATTGGAAGCAATGAGCAGAGGATGCGGACAGGTGAGAGGCAGGGGGGCATGGCATGGGGTCAGGGCAGCGTGGGGAGGGGACATGTGGGACATGAGCAGTACTAGCCAGGCAGGCAGGCAGGCAGCCGCCTTGCGCTGGCTGGACCTGTCCTGTACAGCGGCAGTGGGAGCGTTGGATTGGAGGCCATGAATGAGTAGACGGTGCGCGCAGGTGAGGGGACTGGGGGCATGGCCCATAGGGGTGCATGGGATAATGGGAGCATGGCCCATAGGGGTGCATGGGATAATGGGAGCATGGCCCATAGGGGTGCATGGGATAATGGGAGCATGGCCCATAGGGGTGCATGGGATAATGGGAGCATGGCCCATAGGGGTGCATGGGATAATGGGAGCATGGCCCATAGGGGTGCATGGGATAATGGGAGCATGGCCCATAGGGGTGCATGGGATAATGGGAGCATGGCCCATAGGGGTGCATGGGATAATGGGAGCATGGCCCATAGGGGTGCATGGGATAATGGGAGCATGGCCCATAGGGGTGCATGGGATAATGGGAGCATGGCCCATAGGGGTGCATGGGATAATGGGAGCATGGCCCATAGGGGTGCATGGGATAATGGGAGCATGGCCCATAGGGGTGCATGGGATAATGGGAGCATGGCCCATAGGGGTGCATGGGATAATGGGAGCATGGCCCATAGGGGTGCATGGGATAATGGGAGCATGGCCCATAGGGGTGCATGGGATAATGGGGGCATGGCCCATAGGGGTGCATGGGATAATGGGAGCATGGCCCATAGGGGTGCATGGGATAATGGGAGCATGGCCCATAGGGGTGCATGGGATAATGGGAGCATGGCCCATAGGGGTGCATGGGATAATGGGAGCATGGCCCATAGGGGTGCATGGGATAATGGGAGCATGGCCCATAGGGGTGCATGGGATAATGGGAGCATGGCCCATAGGGGTGCATGGGATAATGGGAGCATGGCCCATAGGGGTGCATGGGATAATGGGAGCATGGCCCATAGGGGTGCATGGGATAATGGGAGCATGGCCCATAGGGGTGCATGGGATAATGGGAGCATGGCCCATAGGGGTGCATGGGATAATGGGAGCATGGCCCATAGGGGTGCATGGGATAATGGGAGCATGGCCCATAGGGGTGCATGGGATAATGGGAGCATGGCCCATAGGGGTGCATGGGATAATGGGAGCATGGCCCATAGGGGTGCATGGGATAATGGGGGCATGGCCCATAGGGGTGCATGGGATAATGGGAGCATGGCCCATAGGGGTGCATGGGATAATGGGAGCATGGCCCATAGGGGTGCATGGGATAATGGGAGCATGGCCCATAGGGGTGCATGGGATAATGGGAGCATGACCCATAGGGGTGCATGGGATAATGGGAGCATGGCCCATAGGGGTGCATGGGATAATGGGAGCATGGCCCATAGGGGTGCATGGGATAATGGGAGCATGGCCCATAGGGGTGCATGGGATAATGGGGGCATGGCCCGTAGGGGTGCATGGGATAATGGGAGCATGGCCCATAGGGGTGCATGGGATAATGGGAGCATGGCCCATAGGGGTGCATGGGATAATGGGAGCATGGCCCATAGGG